TCCAAACAAAACCAGAAAAAACCCTACCCATAAACCACTGTAACCAGCCCCCCACTCCCTCATGTCGTCACTGGCACCAACCACCCGTAGCAGCGTCGACCACTCTCCGAACAACCACCCCTTCTCCTCCAATCCCATCGCAACCGGGCGATTATACAGTCGCCATTCGCGTGTCCAGTGACCGCTATTTCTTCGCTGTCGTCGTGCAGTCCGTCCGAGGTCGTCGTTGGGTTGTGCTCGTGGCTTCCGGTCTGATATCGTTGAGCTTGACGTCGAGTTTGGTCGTTGAGGTCGATGTAGAGGTTTGGTCCATGGTTCTGTTCGTTTCTGTCTGTTCAGGTTAGTAAGCCTCAATGTATTAGTTAAAGAAACGTTACTTTAAATGTTCGAAGATGCAATATAGAGATTGGCATGAAATTTTTCTGCTTATGTTTCACCGTATGCATTTTGGTTCATCTTTGTATTATGTTATTCTTGTTTACTTGATGTCATTTGATTTAGTTGTATTAGTTGTTCTATGACACAAGTTTGATGTTAGTCCGTTCGCCCTTCCTTTTTGCTTAGTTCATTCGGACAAAAAGTTAGCATTAGTACTTGTTGTTACTACTTCCGAAACACTCGTTCACTAAACTCATTTTATTAATCTTTTGACGAGTTATGAGATTTCAGTTGTAAATAGGCTATAAAGTTTAGTATTGTTAAAGGCGTAAAAATGGCATTTTTTTAAAAAAAAAATAAAAAAGTAAATAAAAACAAATAAATAAATAAACAAAAAAAATGAGATGAGCCTCGCCGAATAAAAGGGACAAATTGCGGGGCCCTCACAAAATATATGTATTAAATACTTAGATTCCGGGATGGGCCGTTTAACAAATTTCACGGCCCTCCCCGAAAATAATAATGCGTTAGTTGCTTTAGGCGCGTCTTAATAATGTATCTCCCTAAACTCGGGTGCACATTTATGTGACCCAAATCCAAATCTCAACGAAATCGAAATATGTCTCTAATCACGGGTGCATTGATTGTGACGTGGTTTGAGATGCATTTCCATGACGTTGCAAATTCCTTTAAATAAATAGAATGAGACGAGCTTCGACAAACAAAAATGTAAATTGCGGGGCCCTCAGTAAATACTTGTTTAAAATTACTTAGATTTCAGGAGGGTCGTTTAGCGAATTTCACGGCCTCCGCAAAATAATGACGCGATAGTCTGTTTAGGCGCGTGTTTAATAATTTACTTTCTTAAANNAATATAACAGTTGAGCGACCGTGCTAGAACCACGGAACTCGGGAATGCCTAACACCTTCTCCCGGGTTAACAGAATTCCTTATCCGGATTTCTGGTACGCAGACTATAATATAGAGTCATTATTTTCCTCGATTCGGGATTAAAATTGGTGACTTGGGACACCCTAAATCTCCCAAGTGGCGACTCTGAAATAATTAAACCAATCCCATTTTGATTGTCCTTTAATTGGAAAAAACTCCCTTGTACCCTCGCGGGTATGTAAAAAGGAGGTGTGACAGTTATTAAAAAGCAAATTCATGCTGTTTTGGTCAATATTTATTAGATTTAAAATAAAAAATAAAAAATTATGGATTAAATGATATCGCATTAGAAGTTGTATTTTTCCGCAATTGTGATTATTTTGTGAATTGTTGAAAGTAATTCTTATGTTAAAAAATATAATTATATGACCATTTGTGAAATTTATCCTTTATTTTAACTCAATTTACGTTTCTTTCACAATTTTACCCCTTTGTTAGTTAGGTCTCCGCAATAAAAGTCTTCATCCTAGGAGTCCTAGTGAGAGTTATTTGGTATATGATTGTCTCGTGGTTGATTTACCCAAACAAAAAGCTTAATTAGTTGACTTCAAAATCTTATGTATATATTACTGAATTTTTTTATTTGATAATAGAAAATTAAAAATAATAAGAGAAGAAGTTGGGAACTAAATAAAACCACATCCGAGAAGTGGGAATAGTACAAGTAAATGACGTGGTTGGTTCATGGTTTTATGTTAGAAAAAGTTAGCTTTTATAGTTTGAAGTATGTAATAAAAGAGAGCAATAAAATGGTAAAAGAAAGTCAAAGAATTCATAGGTTAGGTTTTATATATATATTTTTTCTTTTACGAAAATCATCTCCCAAATTTTTTTAAAATCCAAACTACCTAGAACGCTGGGTTGGGTGCTTTTCATTAACTGAAAATAGGAGGGGGCTTGTCCTAACCTCCATGTACAACACTGATTATATTCACAAATCAGTAAAAGATTGGGGGAAGGAGATATTGAGGGCAAAAAAACAGATTAGCAATTCTCTCTCCCTATGTACAAGTTTAACTAACAAAAAAATTGGATTTGTCATATCTAATCTTGAATGAAAGTGGCCGCCATTTGTCCATATAGTATGACATTTCTAGGCAGCTGATTAAAAGAAGAATATATGATGCTCTGATTAGAACCAGCAAGCTGATCTGCAATACCAGAAAATGGCATGACAAAATCCTCATTATCATTTCTAATTATTCCTCCAATACCAGCTTTAATTTACCAGTCTCCTTTATAAAACTCCCATCTGTGTTTAACTTCAATCTCCCTGCTTCTGGCATATTCCATTGAACACATCTCCAATAAGGAGTGGGTCTCATTCTCTCAATGATCTCACATCATGTATGCCAAGGCAATTTACCTATGAGTTTGGGGTATGATTTATTCAAAGCGGCATATATATTCCATAGCCCTTATTGAGAAAAATAATTTTTGGTTTTGTAGCTCTTATCAATTGCCATGACGACTTGTTATTGTAATTTCCATCATCTGACAGCTTCCAAGTAGCATAATCTTTTTGGTTATGTTTACCTCGGATTATCCCATTGATATGCTGAAGAATATCATCAGGTAGAAGTATCTTCGATCTCAACTTATCCACGTTCCATTCATCATTACCAAAAAAATCAGATACTATACCAGTTTTGTAGGTTTTTTAATGTTTGCAACCAATGCTGCCAAAGGACCCTTACCAGTCCAATCATCCCACCAGAAGCTGCGCGTTAATGTTCCACTGAATATACTTCTTAGTCTTTTCCCTGATATGAATTAAATTTTTCCAAAGATGCGAATTACTAGAGGCCCAACTTTTTTTGGTCGGATGAGCTCTTATGCAATACATAGATCTCAAGAACTCTGCCCGCAAAGAGGGGTACGTTCTGAACCTCCATCACCTCTTCATAGCACAAATACCATTAATCTCTCCCATTCTCCTAATTCCAATTCCACCTTAGCTTCTTCCTTTGGGAAATAGAGATTTTTCCAACAACTCCAGTGA